AGTGATGGATGTGATATTCTTGGTACCAAATAGCAATCGTTTGAAATATTGTATGGATTACTTAGGGGGATGCAATATTTTAAAAGTATACATAGTTGGGATGTGATATTTTAAGTAAGAGCATCAGTTTCTTTTTGTGGTACATACAGAACTTACAAGTGATGGATGTTATATTCTTGGTATCAAATAGCAATCATTTGAAATATTTTATGAATTATTTAGGGGGATATAATATTTTTATACATAGGGGGGATATGATGTTTTAAGTAAAAACTTCAGTTTCTTTTTGTGACATATACAGTGAATAAACCGAGGAAATGTGATATTCTTGATACCAATTACTAATCGTTTGAAATATTGTATGAATTACTTTGGGGGATGTAATATTTTAAAGGTAAACATAGAGAGGATGTGATATTTTAAAAAGCAAATATTAATTGTTTGAAATATTGTATGAATTACTTAGGGGATGTAATATTTTATAGGTAAACTTAAAAGGGATGTAATATTTTCAGTAAGGATTTAAGTTTCTTTTTGTGGTACATACAGAACTTACAAGTGATGAATGTGATATTGTAGGTACCAAATACTAATCGTTTAAAATATTTTGTAAATTACTTGGGGGATTTAATATTTTAAAGGTAAACATAGAAGGGATGTGATGTTTTAAGTGAGAATTTTAGTTTCTTTTTGTGACATATGCAGAGACTCCACAGGGGAGATGCGATATTTTAAATATCAAATATGAATTGCTTGAAATATTGTAGAAAAATACTTAGGGGATCTGATTTTTTAGAAGTATACAAAGGGAGGATGTGATATTTTAAAAAAGAATTTTAGTTTCTTTTTGTGGTACAAACATAATTTACAAGTGATGGATGTGATATTCAAGATAGCAATTACTACTCATTTGTAGTAATTGCTATCTTATTACTCATTATATATATACATATATATATGTACATATATATATATATATATATATATATATTATATACATATATATATATATATATATATATATATATATATATATATATATATATATATATATATATATATATATATATATATATATATATATATATATATATTCATTACAGTTAAGACTTTTAAAGTCACCTTAAGGCAGAATACTCCAAATGTTATACCTTCTGCTTGTATGGCATGTGGTAATGTTAATATTTCAAACTTTTCTGAAACACCATATCTTTGTTGTAAGTAACAACTACTGTATAAAAGTAAAAAAATTATAAAAGATGTAAATACAAATTTGACATAGGAATATCTAATAATAATATCATACTTCCATTTCACTTCTTCTTTTTTGACGGAATTTATCTGTTCTCCCATAGGATCCATAAAGTGAATTGTTTTATTTCCTGGTTTGATTATCTAAAACACAAGTGAGTTTTAAAATTAGGTTCAAAGTTAGGTTCCCTGTAAAAAAATGCGAAACCTTACCTTTCACTAAAAGTTAAACTTTTTGTACTTAGAGAAATGAACTTTTTCAAAAAACAATTATACTATTTTACACACTGCATTTTTCCACCATACAGCATATTAGCATATCTTGTTTAAAGAGCTCTTTCTATGAAGATATATATATATATATATATATATATATATATATATATATATATATATATATATATATATATATATATATATATATATATATATATATATATATATATATATATATATATATATATATATATATATATATATGTGTGTGTGTGTGTGTGTGTAAATACTCTATAATTAAATTAATAAATCATTAGTTTTTTTAGATAAAAGTTTTTTAATACCTTATGCCGTCTTTGTATTAAATCAGTTTTAAATGGCAATTCATCCAGTGAGAGTAGCCCAGCTGGCTACAGTACTTCGATTCGATTCTTCAAAGCATCAATAAATGGAATGGCATTCAATCTATTGTTTTATATTTAGAATTAAAATTTTATTTAAATGAAGACAAATTTAAAAAAAAAATGCAATTTTGTTTTTTTGTACAAAAATTTTATTATAAAGTACATTAATTAATCATACTTTTTCTTTTCTGTTGACAAATATTTTGAGATAAATATTAACAACTTCGTCACTGAGACATTCGTTTAAAGTGTCTTGTAACGAATAATCGTATACCTTGCAGCCACCTAAATCTGGATATATACCCATAATGACTTTTACAGTATTTTAAATATGAATACATTTTATTATTCCGTAACCTATTCATGAAATGCAATTTAAGCATAATTTCATCAAAATTTAAGCATAAGCCTTTCATCTAATAAAATAACGACTATTACATTTATTGAAGATTACATGTTTTAAAACTCTACACATATTTTTTCACCAGGTGGGATAATGTTTAAATTGATTATTTGAATAGGTTTACATAAAAATCTTTATTCATTCGTGCGCCACTGAATAATACATACCTTCTGTATCATCAACTATGCAGCTTTTTTTTGTATTTACCTTCTCTAGAATATTAAAATAAATCAAAACAAATTAAGATAAAACGCTAACAGTTATATATGAATAGGTAAGCTTTTAATACATACCTTCATTATCTTCAACTACAATGGTTTTTATTGGCTTTTCTGCCTTCTCTAAACAACAAGCGATACTTTAAAATAAAATGCTAACATTTATAAATAAAAAAGTAACTTTTTAAATTCTACTTTTACTATCTTTTACTACAAAACTATTTTTTGTATCTGCCACTTCTAAAAAAACAATATATTACAATAAAAAGATAACGCTAAAAAAATGTAAAAGTGATTTATTAATATACACATTAGCTGCAAAGATTTTTATAATTATCTGCCTCCTCTAAAAAATAAATTATAAATAAAATAAAACGCTAATAATTACAAATGAATAAGTAAATTTTTGATTCTCTGTCTCAGCCTTCTCTTGAAAATAAACCATAAAATAAAATAATGAAAAAATATATGTTTTAACTATAAATTAAAATAAGAAAACGAATATTTTACCCGAGTATAAATCAAAAAACAATAAAAATTGTTTTAAAGAAAAAATAATATATTTTATAAATAGAATGAAAACTTTATTGAAGTAACAGGTATACCAGTAACTTCTACAGAGTAACGATATTTAAAAAAAAAAAAACATTTCTCTTCTCAGCGTTTTTTAAAGACGTTTAAAGACCTGTATTATGCGTAATAAAATTAAGACGCCTTTGAATAGCTATGGGTTTCTGAAACAAGTGTCTGACAAAGATGTCATTTAAACTAAAATAAGTGAAGATAAACTCTCAACCTCAACTAATATATTTAAAAATATAATGTAACTTCACTTTGTTTTAGCTCATTCTTTTTCTAGCGCTTATCTTTATTTAAACTTTTTAATTTTCTAAACTGATTAAAACGAGCTTCTTGATTCACAAAAAAGTTATGCCAAATATTGTGCGGCCGTGACGCAGTGGCCAGATCGTATGCTTTATAAGCAGGAGATCCAGGTTCAAAATGAGATTTGGACATATTTTGCGTCATGGTAAGGAAGGAGGCGTGAACTTCCTGGTTAAATGCACTTCCGCGTTGCTCTGTGACAAGACCGTTAGGTCTTCTTAGGGTACCTAAATAACAAATTAAAAAAAAAAAATATTATAAATAAGGACAATTTCTGTGCAGATTTTTTTGTTATGTTTATTATGGCTACGCGTTGGTACTGGACTCGTTGTATAAAAATTTAATCAATCTTTATTATAACAATTAATATAGTCAATTTTGTTACCTAATTCAATCATTTAAATTAAGCCACCACGCTCTCGTCTTTTTTTCAAACTTGTTGAATTCAAGGCTATAAATCTGTCATTATAAAGATGATTATTATTTCTTAGTGAAATCTTCTTCGAACAATCCTGCACTTTAACATTTGTGTCATTAAGAAAATAGGAAGTATTTTTTTTATTTAGTATTTTTTTTCAAAATTTTTATTTTTACAAAAATGTTGTGTTAACATTTGATGGAATATATATATATATATATATATATATATATATATATATATATATATATATATATATATATATATATATATATATATATATATATATAAAATATATATAACGAAATAATACCTTTGATGGGAGGAAAACGAAGAAGTTATATATACATATATATATATATATATATATATATATATATATATATATATATATATATATATATATATATATATATATATATATATATATATATATATATATTATAATATATATATATACATATATATATATATATATATATATATATATATATATATATATATATATATATATATATATATATATAATATATATATATATATATATATATATATATATATATTATAATATATATATATATATATATATATATATATATATATATATATATATATATATATATATATATATATATATATATGTATATATATATATGTATAAATGTATATATGTATATATATATATATATATATATTTATATATATTATATATATATATATATATATATATATATATATATATATATATATATATATATATTATATATATATATATATATATATATATATATATATATATATATATATATATATATATATATATATTCTTTATCATTTCAGTTCAGTATGGTATTGGATGATTCTAATACATGAAATACATGGTTTTATAATTTATTGTAATAAAGTTAATTTTTTAACTGCCACTTTTTAAAATTTGTATAACTTTAATAATTGTGAACTGGACTAAATATTATTAACTAGTCTCAACAGGCTCAATAATCACATTATATTTCCATACCAAACCATCCAAAGAAACGTTAATATTTAAAAATAGTTCTTTAAAAATGTTCCTTTATTAAGAAAGAAGCTTCTATTATTCAAAAAAAGTATCTGAAGAAGTTATAACTTTCCCGAAACCATACGCCTCAGCCACCATAGGTGGACGTAATGGAGAAAAAATTTTTAATTATGCAATAGAATGAAACAAGACAAACCGTAATTATTTATTTTCCTTCAAAACGTTTTGTACATTAAAACTAGTAAAATATTTATGTTGTAAGATATGAAAACATTTAGAATAAAAAATTATTGTAATTAATTTCGTTCATTTTAAATCTTATGAAAACTTTAATTCCACCAAAGTTTTATATATGACTTCGTTGAACAATGTCGCATGTTTAAATTGTTAGCTCAATCGTATCTAAAACAAATAAAATATTAAATTAAAACTTTAAAAAGCTAAAAAACACTATAAATATTAAAGTTTCTTGATTTTATTAGAAGCTCTTTAATTTTTTTTTTAATTTTTAAATTAAATATATAAATTTATTATAAAGATCTCCATCAGAGGAAGACCCAAGAACAATATTTGAGATACACATCTTACTTAAATTACACATCCACCCTATGCAGGCGTCTAAAATATTACATCCTCCTAAGTAATTCTTTACAATATTTCAAACGATTAGTAATTTGTGTTTAAAATATCAGATTCCTCACTTGTAAATTCTGTATGTATCACATAAATAAACTTAAATTTTTACATGAAATATCACATCCCCCCTATATATACTTTCAAAATATTACATCCCCCTAAGTAATACTTTACAATATTTCATTAGGTATCAATACTAATCAATGATTAGTATTTGATACCTAGAATATCACATTCCCCTATTTATTCTCTATATATGCCACAAAAAGAAACTGAAATTCTTCCTTAAACTACACATCCACCCTAATCAGGCGTCTAAAATATTACATCCCCCTAAGTAATTCATAAAATAATTCAAACAATTAGTATTTGGTAACGAGACTATAACACCCATCAATTGTAATTTCTGTATAAATAACATAAAGAAACTGAAATTCTTTCTTAAAATATTACATCCCCACTATGTACACTTCTAAAAGATTACATCTCCCAATATATATATATATATATATAATATAATATATATATATATATATATATATATATATATATATATATATATATATATATATATATATATATATATATATATATATATATATATATATATATATTTGTGGTACATACAGAACTTACAAATATTTAATTTGTAAGTTCTGTATGTACCACAAAAAGAAACTTAAATTCTTATAATACCACATCCCCTCTATGTTTATCTTTAAACTATTACATCCCCCTAAGTAATTCATACAATATTTCAAACTATTAGTATTTGGCATCTAGAATATCACATCTCCTCGGTTTATTCTTTATATATGTCACAAAAAGATAAAATATTTTAAACAATTAATGTTTGGTACCTAAGTAATCACATCCATCACTTGTAAGTTCTGTATGTATCACATAAAGAAACTAAAATTCTTTCTTAAAATATCACATCCCCCTTATGCATATTTCCAAATTATTACATTCCCCAAAGAATTTCTTTAAAATATTTCAAACAATTAGTATTTAGTGTTTAAAATATCACATTTCCCCTGTGGAGACTCTGCATATGTCACAAAAAGAAACTGAAGTTTTTATTTAAAATATTACATCCCCTCTATGTTTACCTTTAAAATATTAAATCCCCTAAGTAATTAACAAAATATTTTAAACGATTAGTATTTGGTACCTAGAATATCACATGAATCACTTGTAAGTTCTGTATATACCACTAAAAGAAACTTAAATTCTTACTTAAAATATTACATTCCTTCTATGTTTACCTTTAAAATATGACATCTCCCTAAGTAATTTAAACAATATTTAAAACAAATAATATTTGGTATTTAAAATATCACATCCCCTCTATGTTTACTTTAAAATATTACATCCCCCTACATATTTCATACAATATTTCAAACGACTAGTATTTGGCATATAGAATATCATATCCCCTTGGTTTATACACTGTATATGTCACAAAAAGAAACTGAACTTCTTACTTAAAATATCACATCCCTCCTATGTATACTTCTAAAATATTACATCCCCCTAGTGATTCATAAAATATTTCAAACCATTGCTATTTGGTACCTAGAATATCACAACCATCACTTGTAAGTTCTGTATGTACCACAAAATGAAACTGAAGTTCTTATTTAAAATATCACATCCCCCCTATGAATACTTTTAAAATATTACATTCCCCTAAGTAATTCATACAACATTTCAAACGGTTAGTATTTAGTGCTTAAAATATAAGATTCATCACTTGTAAATTCTGTATGTACCACAAAACGAAACTGAAATTCTTACATAAAATATCACACCCCCTCTATGTTTACCTTTAAAATATTACACCCCCCTTAGTAATTCATACAATATTTCAAACAATTAGTAATTGGTATCTAGAATATCACATCCCCTCGGTTTATTCACTGTATATGTCACAAAAAGAAACTTTAATTCTTACTTAAAATATCCCATCCCCCTATGTATACTTTTAAAATATTACATCCCACTAAGTAATTCATACAATAATTCAATTGATTAGTATTTGATACCTAAAATATCACATCCCCCTGTAGATTCGATGTATATGTCACAAAAAGAAACTGAACTTCTTACTTAAAATATCACATCTCCCTAATGAATACTTCTAAAATATTACATCCCCCTAAATAATTCATACAATATTTCAAACGATTGGTATTTGGTACCTAGAATATCACATCCATCACTTGTAAGTTCTGTATGTACCACAAAAAGAAACTTAAATTCTTACTTTAAATATCATATCCCCTCTATATTTACCTTTAAAATATTACATCCCCCTAGTAATTCATACAATATTTTATATGATTAGAATTTAGTATCTAGAATAAGGGAGGTCGATTTTTGTAATCAACTTACCTGTGCCCTCAGATAGCTAGAGTTTTTTAAACCAATAAAGAACTAATTAAAACTTTTTAACAAATTTGCTTCAGTTTTTTCGCGTTTAAGTTTATATGTACAATTTTTTTCATTTTTTACGACTTGAAAAATAAATTCGCAATTCAAAAGAAACAAGAAAATTCTGAAAACGCGGGAAAAATTTACCAAAAAAATTGTAAACAAACCGATTGGCTGAATAATAATAATAATAAATAAAAAAAGTGCTGTTAAAAAAACATGCAATAAACGGCATTATAGATACTTTTATTTCGTACAATCCGAGTTAAAAAAAAAATCAAACATAATTGATAAAACCCAACAAGAACTTGTGAAAATTTGGTTAAAAGTAAATCCAAAATTGCCCTTGATAAAAAGTGAGTCAATTTATTTAAAATTGGTCAAAACATTTAACACAATGAAACTTATTAATGGAAAAAAGTGCAAAAAAAGAGCTCAAGTTGCAGCATATAATGCGTTGGAAAATCTTTATGATATATCTACCTGTAGATGCAATTTAGACGAAGTTCCCTGCTATGATGATAGGGTCAAATGCAAATATCTAACCTGCAATAATAAACATTTAGTATGTGTTTGGCCTCCAGAGTGCAAGGTTAGTTAAGAATTTGACTTTTTATACAGAGTTTTTTTGAACTTTCTTCACAAGAGTTTATCTACTTATTTATCATGTTTTTTTTAAATAAATATATGATATTTTATTTAAATTTGCTTAGATTCCGCTGGAGGAACAAGAATACATCAAAGACCAAAGATCAAGAAATGGCACAAAAGGAAACATTCAGTTAGGGCCAGTAGATTGGAGCACTGTAAAAAAAGAAAAAAGAAGAGTAGGAAAGTGTTCTAATGTTAAAGTACCCTCATGTGATAATGGCGAATCATCTTTTGATATAAATTTGGAGTCTGATACAGTAAGAATAAGAACAAGTTTATAGTTTTCTCATTCAAACGATATATATATATATATATATATATATATATATATATATATATATATATATATATATATATATATATATATATATATAAAATATATATATATATATATATATATATATATATATATATATATATATATATATATATATATATATATATATATATATATATAAAGATGAATGCTTTAATAGATAAAATTATTAAATTTTAGGAATCATCTTCAGATTCAGAATATAATGAGTCAATTGCTATTTCAACATATAATTTAAGAAAGCTGGATAACTTTGCTTTAGAGTGTGTTCTGTTAGTAACTTTTAGTTTAAGTAGTTGTTTATTATTACATAATACGTATTTGTGTTGTTTATTTAGTTTTTGAAGTTTTCTTTTAAATTTGTTCTCCTTAAAATTTCTAATTATTCAGGAATTTTCCAAAAAAAAAGTGTTTTTAAAAAAATAATAAGAATAAAAATAATTTTCCAAATTAAAAATTTTTCCTACAAGAAATACAATGGAAAGACTTGAAAATGCTGTTTTTATGGATGTGTTAGCAATTTATATTTGAACTTGGTTATAATCTACTCTATTATGTTTTCGCATAAAATTGTTTATTTTATTGTAACTTTTTAGGTATGCGATATCGAGTGAAGCTGCTGCAGCTCTTGGTAATGGACTTTTAAAAGATCTTGGAGTTATTACTAAAACCGATAAAACTGATGTTTTAGATAAAAGTAAAATGGATCGAGCTAAAAAAAGGGTTTGTCTTCAGTCTGTTGCTGAACACAATATCATAGTGCAAAATCTATCATGTATTGGATGTGACAGCGACAGTTTGCAGTTTTTAAGTGTAAAGTTAGGGGTAACTGGAAATTTTTGGTAATGATTTTGCTAATTTATAACGACACAGTACACAACATTCGTACTGTAAATGTACGAATGTTGTGTACTGTGTATTTTAAAGTTAAACATAGAGGGGATGTGATATTTTAAATAGCAAATATTATTCGTTTGAAATATTGTATGAATTACTTTAGCTAAAGTAATTCATACAATATCTCAAACGAATAATATTTGCTATTTAAAATATCACATCCCCTCTATGTTTACCTTTAAAATATTACATCTCCCTAAGTAATTCAAACAATCTTTCAAACAATTAGTAATTGGTATTTAGAATATCTCCTCGGTTTACTCACTGTATATGTCACAAAAAGAAACTTTAATTCTTACTTAAAACATCACATCCTTAGTATGTTTATCTCTAAAATATTACATCCCCCTAAGTAATTTATACAACATTTCAAACGGTTAGTATTTAGTGTTTAAAATATAAGATTCATCACTTGTAAATTCTGCATGTACCACAAAAAGAAACTGAAATTCTTACTTAAAATATCACATCCCCCCTTTGCATGCTTCTAAAATATTGCATACGATTGTTATTTTTATTATCTAAAGTATTATATCCCTCATGTTTAATCTTTTTCTTTACTATTGTCACACATTACATTACGATCAAAATTTATAAATAAGAATTTAAAATATATTACCATTTTATGCTAACTTCATTTATAGTATATTTAATATACTATATTAGTAAAAAAGCGTTTTTATGAATCTCGTTGCGTTTTAATTATATTGTTTATAATTGAATGACTCGAAAGCGCGTTCTCGTTTTCATTTTTTCAATGGGGGATGTAATATTTTAGGGGGATGTGATATTTTATTACATATATAGTCTTAATCATTGAAAGTTATTGAAATCATAAAAAATGGACACAATTTTCCCTACTGAAACTAAAAGTTTTTGAAACATTACTAGTTTGTTATAATTCAAATAGTTTTATTATGTTGCTAACTGAATGTTGAGTCAAATTTTGAAAAAAAAAAGATAATTATTTTTAATTTGTTTTTTTGAGCTAAACCGTTAGACAGTACCATTAAATTAAGTTAGTATTAGAGTGGTATTTTGTGCTGTGATAATCATTATAGTTAAAAATAATGATGTATCAGATTTAAAACAACAACATAAACTTTAAGTCATTTTATATGGTCCTGGCTGCTTTTTAAAGCTTCTGTTTATAATTCATTATTTGTATAATTCAGTTTAATAGAAAAATCAAAGTTTGGTAATACTATTTTGTTCTCGAGATAAAAACCTTGCTAATTGAAAAGTAACTAGTTTATCATTTTACAGAAAAAATGGCATCGAGGTTGTATTTGATGCAAAAAATATATTTTAAGGTTTGAAACTTTAAAGATTTAAATAAACTAGGTGACAAATTTTCTTTACATTTAAACATTAGGGTTAAAATATAAAAAACATGATACACATTTAAAACATGCATTTTTTTAAAGTAATTTTTTTTTCAAATAATCTTAGGGCCTATTCCTATTTAGATCTTATTTATTGCTTGACTCTTCATTCTGCAAAGTCTTATTCGTTTACTATATCTGTCCCTGCATGTTTAAAACTTTTATTAGTCTAGTTTTTTCCCTACATTTTAACCCTTCAAAACTCTCTCCCATCTTCATGTTTTCTTGTCTCATACAACCTACAACTTATCAAGCCTTCTGCCAACCATTTCCTTGTTCTATAACTGTATTCTTTTTTTCTCTAGTAACTCCAAACTTAATAGTAGTTGCTTGCAGCATATATATATATATATATATATATATATATATATATATATATATATATATATATATATATATATATATATATATATATATATATGCTGCAATATATGCAATATATGCATATATATATATATATATATATATATATATATATATATATATATATATATATATATATATATATATTATGTTATATTTTGAGTGTTTGTAGTGTTTGAGAAATAAAAATTATATTAAAAGATATTTGCTTTTTACTATTACAATCTATTTGCCTTTAAAAAAATATACTGCTGATTTAATACAGCTTTATTGATTTTATTCCATTTTTAAAAAAATGGGGTGCTGGGTTTTAATACTACAAACAACTGGATACTGCAAACAACATTTGGATACTCCATTTATCACGAGTTTAATAAATATGGTTGCAACATTAATTTTTACAAAAATAAACTAAAAAAAAAGAAGTTGCTATATAAAAAAGACTATGTAGGTAAGATCCGCAGCCATTTTAAAATCTCTAAAATTTCTTATGAACTCGCGGTCCTAAACATAACACTCGTAATCAGTAAGGGATCGTCCATAAATTACGTCGCGCATTTTTTGGCCTCCCCCTCCCCCTCGTCACAAAATCGTAACACTTAAGAAGCAAGTTTTGTACGAGTCGTTACAAAACTACCAACCTCTACCCTTCCTCCTTATAGCGTGACGTAATTTAAGGACGACCCAAAGGTACGACTTGGCAAAATTTGCATTAAATTCTTGTGATTACTGACACAACGGCTTCTGAATTGTGTAGTACAGCCAGATTGTAAACATAAACAACGAAATACAAATTTAAAAATACAATATATAATTTTCTATCGCATGATTCAGCTGATTTTTATATATTTTTCCTTTCAATTACTTTAAGTTGTCAAACTGTAGTATAGAATACTAAATCATGTCTGCTGGTTTTGCGCAGCTCCTAATTGTCATCATAAACGAGAAAAAGCATTGATAAAAGTGTGTCATTTTTTCGCTTTCCAAAAGACAAAAATAGGTTAGTATATATTTTATTATTATTAATATATATATATATATATATATATATATATATATATATATATATATATATATATATATATATATATATATATATATATATATATATATATATATATATATATATATACTCATATTATACAAATATATATGTATGCATAATTATTTTTATTTCAGATGTAAGCAGTGGGTTATCAATTGCCGTCGCAAAGATCTCGACAAGAATACATTATTAGAACTAAATAAATCATACGCTCTATGCAAAGAACATTTTGAGCCAACACAATATTATACAACAAATATTGGAGGCAAAAGATAATTTTAACAGCAATTACGACTCTTTTGTTGTTCCAAATCCTCCTCACAAAATTTCTTTTAAAAGAAAAGCACCTTCAGAAAGATTTCTTTTTCAGTCACAGAAAAAAAGTAAATCAATTACAAATTAACAGTCTGTAAAGTTAGCGGTTTTTTCTAGTATAGACACTACCCTTACGAAAAAATCTCCATGAAAAAACCCATGGAAAAACCATGGTTATTTGGAACACTTTTTCATGGGAAACCCATGAGTTTTCCATGGGAAATCCATGAGTTTTCATGGGAAACCCGTGAGTTTCCTATGAAAAATCCATGAGTTTTTCATGGAAAAGTGTTACAAATATAATGGATATTCAATGATTTTCCATTCATGGATAAAATATGGAATTTCCATAGGTATTAGGATCAACTTTCGAAAGAAAACTCATGGATTTTTCATGGTAAAAAGGCATTTATGTTTTCAAGTTTTTTTTTATCTAATGTTATTTGAATTGTCACATTAAATCATAAAAGCAAATTTTATCACACTAATATTATTGAATTCTCTTAATCTACGGGATCGCTTTCTCCGAATAAAATCAATAAACAAAATAAAATTTAATTCTTGTTAAATCCTACAAATCTTTGAAAAATAATAGCTATAATGTACCTAAAACATCAAAACTTGACTTCCCCACAATATTTAATGCATGCATATGTATAAAATACTGAAAATAAATAAAACAAAAAATTATAAGTAATTTAATACTATAAGTGATATACATAGTGATAAACAATTGAAATATATCAAGAAAACAATTTTTACAGAAAATAAAACAATTTACATGTTTATTATTTTATATTAACTATTTGATAAAAATAGTATATATAAATTTGATAATAACTTCAAGTTTTAACAAGTTAAAAAGAACCATCAATACAACATATTTAATCCAAAAAAACATCAAGCCCATTTATAAGTGCGACTGCACTGTATTTGTAGAAATAGGTAGATGTCAAACAAAGTACCATTCACATTTTGATATTCATTATTTTTTTCACCGTAGTTAGTCTCATTCTCCATTTCACCAATCTAGACAATATATCATACAACTATTATATACATTCTAACTAGTTTTTTTTTATTTACTAATTCATTTAACTTATAATTATTATCTATTATAACTTACTTTATAATTAAGCATTATACACAATTATGAATGTTGCCAAATGTTAGGCAATATTTATATAGAAAAAAGTAGCATGAAGTATATCTTTATTTATAAATAAAAATTATTAGATTATTACCTCTTTTTCGCCTAAGCTATCTGCATTATGTACAACTTTGTTTATATTTCCAGTCAAACCTTCCTGCCTATAATGTAACTTAACTAAAATTATTTATTCAAACAAATACATATATAAATGTTACCTGCATGTTGGAAACATTTATATCGAACAAGGCAGCAACAAATATTATATTACTTATTTATTTTTGTAATTAAAAAAAAAACTTACTTCTTCTTCTGAGCTATCTGCATGATGTACAACATCATTTACAAACCTGTTTTCTTCACATCCTTACCATCTTTATATATATTATAAAGCACAGGACTAGTTAATGAACGGCTAAATAAATAAATTAAAAATTTATATTGCCAGTTAAACCTGCCTGCTAATAATGTAGTAATTTAAATGAAATGATAAGGTTAAAATGAAAAGATTTATACACATATATAAATTTTACCTACATGTTAGTAACATTTATATAGAACAAGACAGCAACAAATATAGTATAACTTATAAATTGTAATTTTAAGTAAAAACTTACTTCTTTGTCTGAGCTGTCTGCATAATGTACAACATTATTTATATTGTCAGTCAAACTTACCTGCTTATAATGCAGTAATTAAAATAAAACGATAAAGTTAAAATAAAAGAACTTATGCACACACCATTAAATTCAAAAATTTATTATATTTTTACTTTACTATTTAAAACATAATAAACATAATAAATATGTAATTTATAAAGTATAGTAATGTAAAAGCATAATAAATATCAAAGTGTGTGCATAAATTAATTTATTTTAACTAAAGACGAGCACTTTACATTAGTTAAATATGAACAAATAAAATTTTAACTACATGTTAGTAACATTTATTAGAACAAGGCAGCAACAAATATAGTATAACTTATAAACTGTAATTTTAAGTAAAAAGTAAAACTTGTTCCTTCTCCAACTAAGTGGTTCTTGGAACATCCTTACAAGCTGAATCTTAAAGATTACGTTTATATCTTTTCTGGTAATTTAAACTTAATTCATCATTTTATTTTGACAGCTTTTGAACTTTAAAAAATAGTAAATGCATATAAAAACTGACAATAACTATAACTATAAACTATAGCTATAAACGATATAAACGATGAACAACATTATTTATATTGCCAGTCAAACCTGTCGGCTTATAATGTAATAATTTAAATAAAATAAAAAAGTAAATATAAAAGAATTTATAAACAATATTTATATTACATTATTTACATATTCTAATAATTCTAAAAAAAAAGCAACAACAAAAAGACAAAAACGACTTATCAGAACTAAAATTGAATAGAACATTTATCATAAAAAAACGTTTTTTAATACTTAATGAACATTTACCATA